TTCTCAATGAATTGCTTAGCGCCTTGCTGTTGCTGAGGCTGGCTTTGAACTTGAGATCCTCCTGTCTCAGCTTCTGAAGCCACTGGAATTACAGGCATAAGCACTGTGCCTTGCGAGGACCCTATTAAAAAAAAAACAAACTTTATTATATTATATGACCAAAAACATGAGATTCATCCTCTTGACACATTCTGAAGTAACTAGTGCAGTATCTTTAACTATAAGCACAGTGTTGTACAGTAGGTCTTTAGAACTTTTCTATCATGCATTATCAAACTTTATACCCTCTGAGCAGTGATTCCCCATGTCTCCCTCCCCACATGCACCATGTCACTTTCTGCTTTGATGAGCTTCACTACTTTAGAAACCTCACATAAGTGACTTCATGCCTTGTTCTCCTGTAACTGGCTAACCTCACTTAGGGCAGTATCCTCAAAGTTCAACCATGTTGCAGTACTTGACAGGATTTCCTTCATTTTAGGCTGGATACTATTCCACTAAATATTTGTACTACAGTTTCTTCAACCATCCATTCATTCATTGATGGACATTTGAGTTGCTTCTACCTCTTGGCTATTGTGAATAATGTGTGGTGAAAACTAGGAGTGCAAGTATCATTTTGAGATTCTGTTTTTAATCTGATTAAATAAATATTTGGAAGTGGGATTGCTGGATCATTTGTTCTATCTTTAATTTTTTGAGGGACCTAGATACTGTTTTCCACAGTGGCTACCCTGTTTTACATTCCTGCCGAAAAGGTTATAAGGGTTCCAATTTCTCCACATCCTTACCATTTCTGGTTGTTTTTTGTTTGGTTTTGTTTTGAATAATGACCAGGACAATAACTATGGGGTGATATCTCATTATAGCTTTTATTTTCATTTCTCTGGTGGTTAGTCATGTTGAACACATTTTCATATACCTGTTGGCCATTTTTTCTCTTTTTTAGAGAAATGTCCATTCAAGTTCTTTGCCCAGTAAAAACATTATTTTATTATTATTTATTATTTTTGCTATTGAGTTGTAGGAGTTTCTTGCCTATTTTGGAGATTAATTTTTTATCATATATATTATTTGCAAACATTTTCTCTCATTCCCTATGTTGCTTTTCATAGAACTGTTATTTTAAAGCAAGGAAAACTTAAATTCTTTTCCCCCTTCTTTCTCTAACACCCATGGGTAGTCCTTAGTCTTTGTTAGACTGGTCTTCATATCTGCCAAAAGAGATAATGAACTCATACTTAAGTAATTTTTTTGCCTTGTTAACACTAAATGATTTAATATTTACTAAAATACTTGGTACCATTTCCTTAAATTATTTTTTTACATACCGTTCTCACAATTCATTTCCTATGTAATTAATGGGTTTACAGACAGCTAGATTTTCTTAGATTTCTCCATAAAAAGAGTCACAGAGAAGATCTTTGAAGTCTCCATTAGAGGGTGAGGAACATGCTTTTATGTGATTTTTGAAGTACCTATTTATTTCTATTTCTATTTCTCCAGCTATTCATCTCTGCATTCAACCATCCAATTAAGAATAATTAATGTATGATAATTATTATAATAAAAATGGAATTTAAATAGTTGTTATAATTATAGTAATTCCTTACATTTGCATAGAGTTTTACAGTTTACAAAGCATTTTGACATTCATTACTACAGCAGTCCTGAGAGAGTGATTTATGCCTATTACCTGGTTCTTGGCTGAAGGTGGTTTACTTCAGCAAAAATTTACCTGTTTACTTGCTAATGAGAGGCAGATGATGGCAACCTTCAACAACTCTGCCTCTCT